TTTGTGCCAACTATGAGCAAAGAGCTCTGCTGGATACTAGAGTGAAGAATGAAGACATCCTTTCTACACTCAGCTTCAACTTCAACAAATATTTAAGCTGGGGGCTAAGTTTCATGATCTAGTCGAGTTCTCAGCAGGAGGAGCTGAAGATTATTGGCCCAATTCCTCATTAATATGTCTACCCCATCATTGATTGTTCACCAGTCCAAAGGTATTTAAGCATTCGATGATCTCCATGGTCTTTTGTCTTTGGTTACAGAGAGAAACCACTGATCATCAATTTATTGATTATTTGCCAGCCTAATTATTACAATGATTATTAATTACCCAGAAATTCCATCTCTTGGACTTTTCATTGGTAACTTCGTAGAGAGCCATTTCAATGGAATAATAGGGTCAGAAGCCAGAATGTAAGGGGGAAGAAGAGAGTGAGAGGAAAAAGTGGAGATCACTATTGTGGTGATCACCTGATGTGACTATTATGATGTTAGTCATTTTTCAGTCGTGTCTGACTCTTCATGACCCCATTTGAGGTTTTCTTGGCAAAGATACTAGAGTGGTTTGCCATTTCCTTCTCCAGCTCATTTTACAGGTGAGGAAACTTAAAGCAATCACAGTTAAGTGACTTGCCCAGGGTCACACACCTAGTAAGTGTCTGAAGCCAAATTTGAACTCGGATATTCCCAACTCCAGACCTGAGGCTATATCCACTGCACCAACTACCTGCACCTAGACAGCTTTTTCAAGGAGTTTAGCTACAAAGGGCAGAAGAGATATAGGATGGGAGTTAGTTGGTATTAAAAAGTCAAGTAGGCAGTAGGGGATGAGCCAGTAGACAGAGAAAGAGAGAGAGATTTAAAATAAGTGATATATATGAGATAGAAGGGGATCACTTGAACAGGTGGAGGGGTTAGCCTTGGTGAGGAATAAGATCACTTCCACAGGTGAGAGGGGTAAAGGAGGAGATAGTGGTAGAAGGCATCTGCATGGTAGGAGATGAGAAAGAGGAGAAGGAGTTTACATTGGATGACCTCAATTTTTTCTGTAGCCCTAAGAGGCTTGAGGAGGGATGAGAAGGTTAAGAATAGCTGCTGTGGTGTGTGGGATAGTGAGTTGATAATGGAGGGGTATAGTAGGATTGCCTAGCAGCAGTAAGGGTCTAGCTGAGGTTGTGTATGATAAATTTGTAGGTGACCTGTCAGAACAGTTGCATGATTCCCTCTATCTTTGTTCAGTAAAGGGGTGAATGGTGGAAGCAATCTAAGGCTGAGACTTGGCTAAGCATAATCAGTGATGTGATAAGGTGGCTAGTGATTCAAGAGAGGAAGACAGGTAGAGTTAACTCGGTTCACCAAGGGATCAAGATGGCAAAAAGAGGAGAGAGTGGCTAGTGCTAGGGGAGATGGCCTGGGAGAGAATTGAGGGAGTCAAGGTATAAGAGGTTATGGTGTGGATGAAGAGTAGAATTTTGTAAGGGAAAGAAGAGGGAGAGGTGAAAAGCCAAGATTATGATTAGATAAGGAAATTTTGGAATTCTTGAACATGAAGCTGAAACATTTGTGGGCAGTGCTATGATCAAGGGTGTGATCATCTTTGTGTGTGGCTGAGGTGGGATAAAGGAGCTGCTCATGGGAAGTGAGCTGAGTAGCTAGGGAGGTCAAGGGAGAGCCAGTATATATGTTGAAGCCTCCTAGTATGAGGGTAGGATTTAGAAAGGAGAGAAAAATTGTGAGCCTTCTACGGAACTCATTAAGGAAGGGAGTGACCCCGGGGTCCATAGACAAGAGCTACTAGGTTTTAATAGGGTAGTAGATATGACTAACACAAATCTCAAAGCCTTTGGCCTCTTTGGCTTCTTCCTGTCCAAAGTACTGAGTGATGGAGGTAGGGGAGAAACTAGAGGTGTCAATGGGGGCAAAGAGTATTCCAACTCCTCTGCAGGTGAGGAGAATGAGCAAAGGCACAGGCAGTACTAGAAAGGACAGTCAGGGAAGCTGTGTCTTCTGAGAGGAGCCCCATTTCACTAATAGCTAGCAGATGGATAGAGTAGCAGAGGAAAAGATTAAGGGTAACAGGAAACGTGTTGCCT